CCCCCCTCTGCCAATCCCTCCACATGCTTCCATCCCTCACCCCCCTCTGCCAATCCCTCCACATGCTTCCATCCCTCACCCCCCTCTGCCAATCCCTCCACATGCTTCCATCCCTCACCCCCCTCTGCCAATCCCTCCACATGCTTCCATCCCTCACTCCCCTGTGCCGATCCCTCCACATGCTTCCATCCCTCACTCCCCTCTGCCAATCCCTCCACATGCTTCCATCCCTCACTCCCCTCTGCGATCCCTCCACTGGCTTCCATCCCTCACTCCCCTCTGCGATCCCTCCACTGGCTTCCAATAGCCCAAAGGATACAATTCAAAATATTAACAACCACTTACAAAGCCGTCCACAACTCCGCCCCCGTCTATATCTCCAACCTTGTCTAACCGCTCAACCATCACGTTCTCAAACAATTCATCCCCACACAGCTCCCTCCTCATGTATCCCTTCCCCCTCCCCTTTTAGATTGGAGCAGGGCCCTCCTTACCACCTTGTCTTGAATTGTATTGTGATTGTAATGTCTTCCTTACATTGTAAAGCGCTGTGCAAACTGTTGGCGCTATATAAGTCCTGTATAATAATAATCATAACCAGAAGCAGAGAGAGGCTCTTGGGTGGATACATTTCTATGCATGCAAACTGGCCTGTAGTAGAAGGATGCCAAATGCAAAAAGAGGTCCGGGCTCTGTGCCCATAGAAATGCATCCACCAGACACCCAATGGATGGCCATACCCAATGCTTTCTGCAGTCCTAACACAGCTAGAGTACAGTAGAGTGATCATTGTCACGTTAGAACAGGAAGTGTGTTTCTGGCAGGATCACCAGGTGAATGTAAAGGATACAAAAGCCTGAAAACTAAAGCGGCCACTTCATGGAAGGACTATTCTACTGCAACATATAACATTTCTTGTTCTTGGTTTTCAATACACTGCATGTTATTAAAGGAGAACTATGGGGGTCAGTGTTTTTCCCCATAGTTCTCCTCAGGGTCACAGGAGGACATATACTAACCTCCTCCCGTCACCCAAAGCTCAGTATATAGAGAGCTACAGCTCGGGGTATACTGAGACCGCCACACCTGGGACGGATCCCGACATTACTTTTTGAGATCCACCCAGCTGCGTGAGTGACAGCTGGCTCTGCCTTTCTAGAGAGCCAGCTGTGCCCTCCCCCGTCCGTTCCACCAGTCAGCGCTGGAGGATCGGAGTGGGGAGGGGGGGAAATCCCTGCAGGGAGCCGTGAGTGACAGTCACCACTCTCTGCAGGGATAGATTGAGAAGTGAGCGAGCGCTGGTATGTGTTCGCTCACTTCCCGATCTACTGAGCCGACCTGTGACAGTCTCATTGTCACAGGTCGGCTAGAACTATGAGGAGGAGTGAAAAGCACTCACCTCATGGTTCTCCTTTCAAGATGATTATGTTGGTGTTCGTCGTTGGCCATTATGTAACACAGGGCTTGGAATTTTGGGTTTCCAAGTACCGGTCCGCGGCCCAACTCCGGCCCACGAGCCGGTACTATGTGGCCCACAGCCAACTGACATGTCAGGTACACGGTCGCAGACCGCGTACCTGACTTGCGGGAGAAGCTCCACGGTCTGCATCAGATACAGACCGCAGAGCAGCTCCTGTCAGTTCTGGCTTCCTTCCCCTGGAGCTGTGACAGTTCTGAGCAGCATCGATGCCTGGCTATCTGGGTGTGATAGTGAGGGCTGCTGCAGACCTCACTAATCACTCACAGATAAACCAGGGATCGATCCTGCTCACAGCCTCCTCCCTGCAAAGACGTGAACAGGTGAGGGGGCTCGGGGGAAGGGGTTGAGTGTATTATAATTTTGTG